GTGATTTGTAAGCCTGAATCTAGGAGACAGAATTCCAAATGAGATTGCTGTTGGCGCATTAGAATTCAATTTACTTGAAACAGAGCAGCTGAATCACCTTTGGGCAGAGAGTAGAATACCCTGACTAGTCAGATGTCTATAAACACACTTAAGACATGTTTCTTTGTCTCTATTTAAAGATACATAAAGGGATTCCCAGAGGAACTAGCAACAAGTGTATTTATGGGTCTTAAAGTACTTAGAATGTGTTAAATAGTAACCTTTAGACTGAGAACATAATAGATCATTTAAGATGTGATGAAGAGTGAGCAGCCTGATACCTAGTATACTGTAATGCCTGTACTCTGAGGTAATTATTCCAAAGTAACTTTTTATTTGTTAATGTGGATAGTATTCACTTTGATTATGGCCAAGGTCATTCTATTGTCTACTGTGTATTGTCTTTGAATTCTAAAGAAAGCTGGTAGTCATTTGTGGAAATTTTAATAGGAGCAAACAAACAAAACAAAAACAAACAAACAAACAAACAAAAAAAACAGTGAGAGAGAAAGTAAAGAATTTAGAAAATCATTATCTAATTACTTGCAACCCACCAAACAGAGACAGATAAAATTTTAATTTCTCTGGTGCCCTCTAAATGATGAATATTTAGCAGTGGTTCTGGGCAGTAATATTTTTGTTTGAAAGTCAATCTAAAAGTTTTGTCCAAAAGGTTATACTTTGTATCTTCTCTTATTTCTTATGTTCTCATATTAAACTGAGTGACTACTCCTTTGCTTTTCTTCAGCCAGCGATAATTGAGAATCAGTTTTAAAACCAGAAAAGTGAGCACTGAAACCATGTGTGATGAGTCTTTTAATGAGGACCTTGTCCTTTAAAACTTCTGTGCTTTGGGAAGATTTAGGGAATAATTTCAGAAAACTATTTGGCAGAGCTAAGTAGATTTAATTCACAAATTGATGAGTTATTTACTGTTATTGGAAATCTGCCATTTTCTGATTTTTATCATGGCTTGATTTTGATGGGGATCTGGGGAACAACCCAAAAGCCCCTTAGCATGAATAAAATTAGAATTCATCTATTCTGTCATGAGGTCTCCATTTTGGGACGTCCCCCCCCAAAAAAATATCTAGCTCATTGACTAAAGAATAATAATTCTTAAATATATGACATTTAAGATTTTGCAGATTGCTGTGTAGACATTACTTCAGTCAGGGCAGGCAGGTTATACAGAGGAGGTATTATTTATTTTGCTCTTGTGGAGAAGAAAATTGGACTTCACAGAGATGAAATGAGTTGTTTAAGATCTCCTAGCCAGTCCATGATGAATAGAATTGCTGCTGTTCCTGTGGTGCATGGAGTACAGGTCTTCCCAACTGTGAGCTGGGTCTTCATTCTTTTAACTTGCTGCTTTAAGTATGGATTGGGACTAAGAGTGAGAGAAGGATCTCAGACATATTCTTAGAAGCTTGAATTGGATGGAAAGGAAACTTTAAAACATATAAAAGTATACATTCACAGTGTAGGTGGTTGTGAAAGTAGGCGGAAGGGTAAACTACATAGAGATGTGTCCTAAAAGTGAGGCAGGGAATTCATAAGGACTTGATAATGCTTAGCTTGTGACCTCAGGTATACTATTTACTTTTAATCAGTTATATTGCTATTAGTATTTTTTCTGTGTAAAAATGCGTCATGACTTGGGAACCAACAGTTAGCGTAATGGCTATGTCGCTGGACTCCCACGTAGTCGACCGTTGTTCGCTTCCCTGACCCGGTGGCTTAAAACTCACGCCGGACGCGTGTGCGTGCATGCCCAAGATCCCGAGAGGAGAATGGAGGAGAAGGGATTGCGGCATGACCATCCCCCCTGGGCGGTGATTTCTCGCTTTCTGTCTCTCTGTGTCTCTCTGTCTGTCTGGCGAGTGCACACGCCCTATAGCGAAAATCTCTCTAAAAAAAAATGCGTCATGACTTTTCCAACAACCTAGTACCATTGTTAAGGGTGTTTCTGTGCTTAACTCACAGAACTATTTTCAGAACAAATGATAGTATTAGGATATTTTGTAAATTTCAAAATGTTGTATCAGTGTTTGCTATTGTATCATGGATAGTTCATACAATGTCAGCTTTATTTCAGCCTTGCAGACTGTACCTAAAAATACAAATTATATTATTAAAACCAAAGTTGTTTGTAGGAAATCGCCACCTAATTGATGTAAAAGGTAATTTGGTAATTTTCTTTATTTGCCCCCCCCCTATCGCATTTCTCATTTGTTTTCTTTAGTTATTCCTTTGACAAATACTGGTCTGCTGAAATTTGCTAGGCCTCCTGCTTTGTGTATTGAGAAGCAGAGAAGAGAATAGCGCTGCTGTCGCCCGCCCTTCCCTTGGCGGGAATATAAGCGGCCAAGTACAGCTAAGTAATTGCAGAGGCTGAGGAGTGAGTGGCGATTTGAATCTGTACAGAGCTTCCTCCGCCAGACCCTGCCCCAGTCTTGATGCCAGTCTATTCTGCCCCACCCCCTGGAGGGGCATCCTTCTCACTGTACAAAGGTGCCATACAGACTTGCTGAGACTTTGATGCATGCAAGATTTACAGGGGGGAAGGTGGGCAGCAGGTGGCATGGACGTTAAGGTGCTGGATCTCACATTGCTGACCACACAGTTCAAGTCCCAGGCCTACTGTCTTGAAGTGTGTGCCCAGGATCCTAAGAGCAGAATGGAAGAGAAGGGATTGTGACATGGCCATCCCCCTTGGGGGCTGATTTCTCATTTTCCCTCTATCTCTATCTGGCAAGCACACATACATTATAGCAAAAACTTAAAAAAAAAAAATGGGTGGGATTTACATAGAAGATGGAAGGGGGCAAATAGGTGGCATGGTGGATAAAGTGCGTGATTCCCACATGGCCAACCACAGTTTGAGTCTTGGACCCAGCAGTTTGGAAAACACTATGCTGGGCACTTGTGTATGTGCCCAGGATCCTGAGAGGAGAATGGAGGAAGGATTGTGGTATAGCCATTCATCCCGGGGGGTGAGGGGCAGAGGATTTCTTACTTTCCTCTATCTGGTGAGCCCATGAGTCCTCCATCAAGAAAACCTTAAAAAAATTACATGGGAGGATGTTTAAGTATCATTAGTAATAAAATTCATAAATTATTAGTCAGAAATTAAGGAGTAAATAATGATGTAACTTCTACAGTGGAATATTAGGAATTTTGGCTTAAGCATTAACAACTTTAATCCCATGAGGAAATGCTCATGATACATTAAAATTTGAAAATAATGACAGAAGCACATTTGAAATGTAATGAGCCAGAGTTTAAGATTGAGGCCTGGGTTGAAGTGCCGTGTACTTTCTGCTATGAAGCTGGACTGATTGGGCTAGATATATTTTAAAGACTAGAAAGAATGAGATTTGTTTGAGGGGAACACGGTGTTAAATGGCTTCTTAAGCCTTTCAAAAGATACATCATGGTTTCATAATATAAAATAGAAAAATTATACTCTGAATTTCAAGAGAGTATCTCTAGCCTGCTACTATAATATTGCATTGCTTTTTAGGTATAACTTTTTTAGTAGTAGTAAATGCTGTAGTATATGTGTTTCGAGACATAAAAGGGAGAGAAACATTTAAAACTGGCATAAGAATAAAAGCTGGTTTGCAACAGAGGCCGAGTCCCTGGAACTTGTGAACCCTGCTATGTCATGTAGGTCTGTAAGTGAGTGAGCTGCCTTCCTGATCCCGTGTGTGGAACTACAGACGTGGGACACCAGGCTCAGTGTTATGGCACCTGGGCTTTGGCACAGAATGGGTCCTGCTTCTTCCAGGGTGTGTCCGCTCTTCAGTGTAATTCCCTATGAGAAAAAAGTCAACTGTGCCTCACAAGCTGGCTCAACTGAGTGCCAAAAACAATTTGCCTCACGAAATGGAAATTCTGAAGCCAGTTACATAATCCTGTGAGAGAATAAATAGGAAGATTTTCAAGGCATATCCAAATAGGGCAAATGGTCGATTGTGATCTGAACTTTCCCATCCGGTAATATTTATCTGGGGAGATCCAATTAGCCTCATAGATTTGGGGCCTCTTATAAACTGCAGGACTATTTACTTAATTTTTAAGAAGTGGTATCTGTTAATTTTAGGAAGTTCCTTGTACATGAAGCCACCAAAATTTATTTCTGCAAATCATTCTGCACATTTGTATAAAATATAGAGAATAAAATGACCATTTTCTCAATGAACATTACTTAAAGGTCTCCTAGCTGTGGGGCCAGCAGGTGGCATGATAGTTAATGCCTGGACTCACAAAAGGCAAACTGCAGTTTGAGTTCTGGACCTGGCAGTTTGAAACTCATGCTGGAGTGTGTGTGTGTGTGTGTGTGTGTGTGTGTGTGTGTGTGTGCATGCACACCAAAAATCCCAGGAGGAGAATGGAGGAAAAAGGATTGCACCCTGGAGAGTGTTTTTTACTTTTCCTCTCAGTGTCTCCTTAAAAAAAAATAAATAAATAAAATAAAAAAACCTTCTAGTTACTAAAAATAATGGAGTAAAAGGGCTCCAGTTGGAGTGTTGGCCACTTTTCTTTCCTACACTGAGTTTGCTTATGAATCAATTTTTGCTGTTTTGTCCTCAGCCTTCTCTCGATGTCGTATCCCTCTCTATCCTTCCCTCCTTCTTCTTCCCCTAACTCATCTTTGTCCAGGTCACCATTGTCTGTGCCCAGAATCTTCTATGTCATAGCTGGTGTTCCTCCTTCTCCCCTCTCATTTCTCCATTTTGTCCTTTCAGTGACTGTTAAAGGACAGGCAAAAAAACAACAGAAAAACAAAGATATTCCCAGCCATGATTTGTTATCGTGTCACTCTACTAATCAAAAGATTTAAGAATTGTCGATTAAGATAGGTTTTTTCTTTACCTACCAATACAAGAATATTATCAACTATCATCTGTAGAACTTAATTTTCTCACGTTTATTTCTGTGTGCTTTTCTTGCAGGATCAATGTGACCCTAACACAAATGGATGAATGAATATACATATGAAGAGGAAAACAATAAAGGTTGGTTAGTCAAACTGTAATTACATTGAAAATACTACTGCTTTGAGCATTATTTTCGGGCATCGGTTCTCGGGAGAGCACTTCATTGTCTGAATATGAGCCGGAGGTCAGTACTGCTTAAACACACGTTCGTATCTGTAAAGTGTAACTTCTGTCTTTTTAACCCCTTCATTACAAAGGAACTCATAAGGAAGCAACCCTCTCTGGTGCAAGTCTCATTATCCTTCTTTTCTAGAATCTAAACTGGTATTTTAAGAAGCAACTATCTGATGAGTGGTAAAAAGAGGAGAGTGATGCAACTGATCACGGGGACGAGGAACAAACAAATATAAAAGCAAAGAAGCAGATTTTGTTTAATCCGTGTCAGTTCCTACAAGCGTATTCTTTTTTTTAGGAGAGATTTTCGCTATAGGGCGCGTGCGCTCACCAGACAGACAGAGACATAGAGACAGAAAGCGAGAAATCACCCCCCTGGGGGGATGGTCACGCCGCAATCCCTTCTCCTCCATTCTCCTCTTGGTATCTTGGGCACGCACGCACACGCGCCTGGCGTGAGTTTTAAGCCACCGGGTCCGGAGCGTATTCTTTTTTTTTTTTGGATTTGGAGAGATTTTCACTGTAGGGCGCGTGCACTCGCCAGACAGAGAGAGACATAGAGACAGAAAGCGAGAAATCACCCCCTAGGGGGGATGGTCACGCCGCAATCCCTTCTCCATTCTCCTCTCGGGATCTTGGGCACGCACACGCGCCCAGCATGTGATTTAAGCCACCGGGTCCGGGACACGAACCGCGGTCGACTACGTGGGAGTCCAGCGACATAGCCATTACGCTAACTGCTGGTTCCTCCACAAGCGTATTCTTGACACTGATGCTTTCTGGTGCATGACTGCTTTCAGATGCAGTCCTCTTTGCCCCCAAGTCTGTGCTTTTCTAAGAGAAGTGGGGTCATGACAATGGCTGTAACTTTGTTTTTTCCCAGACAAGTATGGTAGAAATTGTAGGAGGAGGGGCATTGAATTCCAACCGTAATTAAATGCTGGGCAGAACTTTGTATTTGTCAAGCTTTTCTTGTACTACCTACAGGTTATCATATAAACATTGTAAGTATTACTAAGAAAATTACACTATGTCAAACCATCTCCTTTTTGCAAGGAAAGCTTTGACACGGAATTGCTTTGGAACAGAGACATGTTCCTTCTAACTCATCATGTATCTGTGTAACATGTTAAGTTTTATATTTCCCATCCCTATTACTCTTGTACACTTTCAAATAAATGCAGGCCATGCCCTGTCTTTATCTGCTAGCCCACTCTCACAGTTATTTACAAATGGTTTTCTAGGTTGTATCTACCACTTAAAATTGGGCTATTCTATTCTCATTATTAAAATGGCTCATTTCTAGTATTTGTGTCTGCAAAAGTTTTCAGACTTTAAGAAGGCGTACAGATTCAGGAATGGCACAGGGGGCACTTCTGAGGGTATCATATTCTTTTCCATGACCTCAGAATTACCTGTGCGTTTGCTATGTGTGGTTGATGTACTGTATACTTCTATGAATGTGGACCGTTGGTGTGTTAGTAAACTGGCTGTGTGAGAAGAAGTGAGGGAAGACCTGATTTGTAGTGTTTGACAATTCTTGTGGTATAAATACTCCCACTCTGGCTGGTATTAATGGTTTATCAGATAACTTGAAATATTCCTTAAAATTTAACAATTGGCACTCCAGAGCTGGGTATGAGTTAGCTCTAGCACACCATTGATAATTCCATTTATATAGTCAATTCTAAAAAAAAAGTTTTGAAAAAAAAATATGTACTCTTCAATACCTTGGGGGAGCATAGGTAATAAATCTAAATATTCTTTCTTCATCTTTATATAAACATGGAAATATTTTTCTTATTATGCAAACTATATTTATCCCTTTCTTATGTACAATGCTGATAGACTGTTGCTTTTTGTTTTTGTTTGTCATTCAATTCATAGGTTTGAAAAGATCAATGTTAGCTTTGCCAGTTTATACATTTTGGCTGTGTCATTTTTCTGTAGCTAATTTTATTGTGACAACTAAAGGTGGTGGCAAAGAGAATCATTGTATTCCTACTTACCCTAAAGAGAAACTGGACATATTCTCATGATTGACTGTAATATCTAATACGTAATTTATTCTACAATGCTTGTGCCTTTATTCACGTAACTCATGAGTTCAGAAGTCTTTCGAGAGGAAAGAGCAGTATCTCGCTTAATATGCTTATTTCATGAATTGTTTTTTCTCTTTGCTGTTTTTTTTCCCTCATAATTTCATTCATGGTTTCCATTTTCAATGCATTAGCACCGAGATCACATTGATGCTTGTTTTTAAATATGACTGAATCAAGTGCGAGGAGTTTTAACAAAGACTGTTGGAGAAAACTGCAGAGTTAGAAAATATATCTTATCTGTAGTCCAAATGCATTGACAAGGTCAATATCAAGATGAAAATTCTAAAATGTCAGTATGGAAGCCACATTACCACTGTCTACGTAATTGAAAAGAGATTTAAATATGCCTTTTAAAACTGTTTTCCTCATCTCTAGCTTTCCAGTGGTGATAAAAATCTTGTTGAGAGCCACAGAATATCATGCTGCGCCTTTCTGCCTAGGCTCTAAAATTTAAATAGCCTACTTGGGATTTATAAAATTTTTATTGTGTCCGTAGGAGTCTACTTCCAGGAGCAGGCTTCATCTGCCCTTTCCTTACAAAGGAATATCTGCATTTTCCTTTACTTGGTGTTTAAGTTCTTCCTTTGCCCAATTGCATTACAGTTGTATTTGTGCCTTTACCATCTGCCATTAGAAAAGATAAAATATATTCTGAAAAGGTCCCAGTCATCGGTGATTTCCTGCTTACGTATATCAGCATAAAATCTGGTGGCTCTTCTCTTTAATGTAGTTCAGCAGTTGCTCTGCTGTGAATATGGTGACTTGCAGTGGCTCTGGCTCTTCCTTTGCTTTCTTCCCCAACTGTTTCAGTATGTGCCTCTCAGCAGCTGGTTTAGAGCAGGTGTTCTAAACACACACACACACACACACACACACACACACACGTTGGTCTAGCTTATCAGAGTTCACATAGAAACTTTTGCTCTGGAGCTAGCAAGTGACATGGTGGTTAAGGTGCTGAACTCCTGCATGGCCAACTGAGGTTCGAGTTCTGGGCCTGGAGACTTGCTGTCTCTCTTTTGGTGGTTAAGGTGCTGAACTCCTGGATGGCCAACTGAGGTTCGAGTTCTGGGCCTGGAGACTTGCTGTCTCTCTTTCTCTCTTGTGAGTGCACGTGCCCTGTAGCAAATTAAAAAAATAACAATAATGATATAAATATAAATAATACATAATAAATATAAACAATATAACTAATGATATAAATATAAATGTAAAATAATATAAATACAACTAAATAAGTAATTCTTTTTAAAAATTAAACATCATTTTTTGCACTGTGGTTATCTCTGCTGAATAGCTGCCCATACAAACATTAGAGGTGGAATGACTTCTATTTCTTGCATTTGGAAACAAGGAGGACCACAGCAAGCACTTCTTAATACAGTTTGATTCTATACAATAAAAGGGTTGTTTCATAGTGATGGATATACACCGTGTGATTACTTTAAGTTTCTTTTCCATAAAGTTCTAAGGCTTTCTTCACACAGGTAGAAAGAAATGGAATTGCAGCAACCCCCCTTTCTTCTAGTTTGAGCTAAGTAGACAAAGACGCTCAGAAAGTCACAGTTTGTGGCAACAAAATGTGCTGTGAGCACTGAGTAACTATAAGTGGATGCAGGAAAGCTGCCTGGGCAATCAGCATGCAGTCAGGAAGAGGCAGGTTGGGGCTCCATAGCTAACTCTGTGTAGATCTTGGACCGTTGCCTTCTCCTTTGTGAATTTTATTATTTTTTCATTTGCAAAGTGGAACTAACAGCTGTCCTACCTGCTTGAAGAGCTGTTATGAGTATGAAGGAAAAGAAGATAGGTTTTTGAAAATTTAAAACTGTAGGGTTCTAAAAGTATACATGCTATTTGATATTATCATTTTTATTGTGTAAGAGATTTGTGAAATTGTATGATTTCACGTCACAAAGATAAACATTTTCAAAATTAGACCGCCTTCGAAGGCATTAATGAGCATAGTGAATAAGGTCATTAAGTCTAGCATGCACATAGTATATGTGCTGTGTAGAAGAACTGGTTACTTTAGCATTATGTTAGGGACTCTGGTATATCCTAGGTGTTGCATTCATCTGATTTCTAAACATCTATAGTTATATTAAAAGTTCTTCCTTTTATTGAGTCAAATCCATACATTATAATGATGCCAACCACAAATGTCCCTCAATTTACACTGGTGGTATATATCTCAATAAAACTATAAGCTGAGAATACTCTTAAGTCAAAAATACTTTTGTGGCCAATTATTGGCACAGTGGTAGCACAGTTGGCCCAAAATGGGACAAATCCTGGGTTCATGGCCTGAAACCTCTCTGAGAATTCCAATCACGCATGCATGCGCCTGTTATTTGGGCCAGCCGAGATGGCAGGTGAGTCACTGAGTAAAGACTCCGTTGGGCATGTCTGTATCATTCTTTCTCTGTCATAGAAAAAATAAATAAATACAATAAAAATACATTTTAAAAATGCATTTAATACACCCACGCTACAGAATATAATAATTTAGCTTATCTACCTCACCTGTGCTCACAGCACTCATAGTAACCAGCAGTTGGCACAGTCATCTACCACAAATAGGCTTTGATAAACTGTGGAATATCTCATACAATTTATCGGATCCTGTACTGAAAGCAGAAATCAATGATAAGTCAAATGGTCGTAAGTCTGGGACTGTCTAGTTGGTACATCAGTCTATCACATCCTGTCCTCCTGAATTAGGTCTTTCTTCTGTCAAAGAACTTCAGCTTTGGGCATCTCGTTTCTCCTCTCTGGGAAATGAGATCATGATGGTATACAAGA